CTTAATCTCAATTAGGAGAAGAGAGGTGAATTTTTAATTACCGGGAGTCACTGTGCGCCGCAAAACAATTATTTTTCTTACTGCGCTGTGATTTCCATGACAGTTTCTTCCATTTTTTTATAGAGATTAAGGGATGAAAGAGTGTTAATTGGTAACTTAGTTCTCCGTCAAACAGCCTTTTTTTTATCCCTTAATTCCAATTAGGAGGAGAAAGACAAATTTTTAATTCGCGGGCGAATGGTAAAAAGTCACTGTGCGCCGAGAAGAAAATTATGTTTCTCACTGGCCCATGACTTTGTCGTAGTTTGTATTTTTTTGTGACAGAGATTAAGGGATGTAACGGGGATCGATTGATGGAGAATTTCATTCTCCATCACACCGTCTGGGTTTCATTCCTTAATATTAATTAGCCAGCAAATGAATCACCTGAAAAACATTAAGAACATGTTGAGGACGAGGAGAGCATGAATTACCCTCCGAAACTATCCCTGTGACAACGGGACTGCTACTGCAGTACTGCCGAGTTAATACCCACGCAGGCAGTTCGCCCAGCCGTCAGATTCGACCGTGGCGCCATACCTCCGTTGGGGTCGAACTATTTTTGGCTTGGGGTCACTTCAACCCCGAGATCTGAGCCTCTACTTTAGTCAATCCTCTTTGCTATCAATATAGTCGCTCTAAGTTCTAAGGCGCTCATATACGCGCCTACGCAAACCCAAAATTTGGTTGCGTTGTGTGTGTGAGTGCCCGTACGCCTTAGATCCTAGGTGGCGTTTTCTTATTTAGCGAGCCGAATTGTCTCTTAAATGCAGTTCGAATCCTCCTCCATTTCAGTCAACGTGTGGTAAAGAAGGTTCCTTCTCTCCTCTTACGTGCATTCCTTTGCGCATGCCTTAGGCAAGCCAGCTGGATACCGCGTGCTTCCGGTCTGTCAGAAATGGCGAGTGCCGTAACATGAAAAACAATGAGGGGAGACACAAAAGGTGGAACACAGTATTCTATTATTTGTCCGACACTATAATTCATCTAGATCAAATCACTATAGTTCTGACAGATCTATTCCCCCAGAAGTTTTCATAAATTCATAAAGTGAGGAAACTACATGGATCATTAAATGTGAAAGTGATCGAATTGGAGAGGTTACGGACTGTTATTTTTTCAGATGATCGAGAATAATATGGACAGACCCTCGAAACACCAGAAACAAGTCATACAAGCCTCTTCTGGAACTGTACTTGAGACTGTATGGGAGTGGAACCGTTTGAAACGAGAGAACGCGGCACTCCGCACCAAATTGGCTGAAACTGAAGCAGCTGGACAGCTTTTCAAGGAAACGAAGTTGTCGCTGCAGAAGCAGATGCGGGTGGACAAGCAAATGATTAAGCAATTAGAAGAGGAGCGGGAAATAATCATTGGCAATGCTCGTGCAGCACGTGATTCTCAATTGGCTGCAGAAGCAAAGTCTTCCAAACTGGAGCAAGTAATCAGTGCCATCAGAGGATTAGTTAACATCGATTCAGCCCCTGAGGTAGTTTTAACTGCATCAATTACCGAAGAGGATGTCACGGAGACTCAGAAGGAGTTGATAATTGCGAAGGAAAAAATTATCGAGTTGGAGGAAAAGTTGTCGAAATGTCAGAGACAATTTGAGATTCAGAATGCAAAGCTCAAAGAGGCAAAACAACTGCAGGAGTGGTCCAACTTTGCAGAGACAAAGGGACTGGAGCGTGTGAAAAAACTTGAAGAGCAACTTCACGATACTGAAAAGGGAGAACGACTGCTTGCAGATAGAATAGCTGATATGCGGAAGGAATTGCTCGAGTGGCAGAAATATGAGGAACAGATGAAGATGACCCAAGAGACGACAATAGGGTCACTAAAAGAACAAAATCTGACGACCGAAGAGTCTCATCCCCCATCTGATAAAGATTATGCTCCACCAAAAGTTAATCAATGTGACATTGACAATTCTCAATCGGAAAAAAGTGAAGAAACGCTGTCTCCTTCAGATAATGAATCTGACAATGAGGAGCCACCATTCTCCAGGTACACAGAGCAACCACAACCGCATTTCAAAATCAGGGGAGGAAACGGAACATACTTTCCCTTGGCGTCAAGCTCAACTTTTCATGAACCTGCGTGGAGGGGGGATTACACTTGTGAAGAAGACGACAGCTGGCTCTGTAATAGGTGTTCCTATGTTGGTGCGACTCAATCGCGAGTTGAAGATCATGTATTTGTCGAACATTACGAGGGCGTGTTTGTGTGTCTCCATTGCCCAAGAATTTTCAACTGGAGACACAATTTTTTTCATCATATAAGTAGGCAACATCCCTCTACGTCATCGATTACAAGAGTGAAGGGATGAAACGATTTAGCTTTTTGTCGAGTTTTTGAAGAATGGGAAGGAATGGATCGCAATTTAGGAGGTGATATTCGTGCCATGTTTTGCAGGAAAACCCCTTGCGTTCGAAATTTATTAGCCTGTAAAACTTGACACTCTAGTTAGTTTGCAACGAAGCTATCTGAAAGTCCCCGAGAATTTTGAAACTCTTGGGTTTTTCCTCAAATTTTTCCTGCATTTTGTTTTATTCTTCATTACGAAATCCAAGAAACAAAGAAAAAATTCACCGCAGAGTTACGTAATTTCCAAGAAAACTGGACAAAAAGCAAATCAAATTTCTAGTAGAATTAGGGTGAACAGGCCAATTGCTGGACGGTTAAGGGAAATTCAAGTTTCGTGGCAGGATCTAAAATAAAATCCCCTTAATGGAAATATGATGGCTTCCATACCTTCCAGACTGTTTTAATTACCAGGAAAAAATTATTTGAAGTGAAAATAAAAAAACAAAGAATAATTAAATTAAGAAATAGTTGAATGCAGCCGAAACCCCTAATTTCTGGACGACTGAGCCATATTTTTTTAAATTTATTAGATGTCGATCAATAGAAAAAATGACCACACGATTATACATAAATAATATTACTGATAAGTGAAATAATCAGTAGTAATACCACTAGTCCTTCAAAAATATCCGATTAATTTTGAAGCACGAGTGGTATTTGACGGATTATTTTTCCACTCGGATTTCGGCCAAGCAGAGTGCAGTGAACAGCATCCGGATACATTTACACATGTTTATCTGTCACACAGAATATTAAACGTGAAATGCGTTGAAAGATGAGAAACATTTGAGAAGCTACTAGTGAATTCCCGTCGGAAATTTTTTAGAAATTTCCGAAATAAAACTGACAGCCTCAAATACTGCGCTCTGATTGGCTGAAATCCGAGTGAGAAAAATAATCAGTACAATTTTCAGTTTATTTATGGCATATTTAATGCAAGTCGAAATCGTCCAGAAACTACCCCCCGTCCAGAAATTGACCTGTTTACCCTAGTCACTCTTAATTTTTCTTACATTTACCGTGGGTTAGTCCTCTAGTGGTCGTTTTCGCGATTTTCAAGAAAACCACTCATTCTGAAAGTCTTGAAATAGAGCTCCAATGGAATATGAATCGAGTTTTCTCTAATATTTTTGCATATTTATATACTTTATTAGTAGATCTCATTTCCCTGTACAAAATAGTTGCAAACAAATTTCACCGTTTTCATTATGTTCTAAGAGGTCCTATAAAAATTGATGGCTAGATAAATTCGCATCCAATTGTTTTATCTTTTCGTTACAGAGTCATTCAAGCCTTTTTTGAATTAAACAAGAGTTCAAGGGCAATTGGATAATAATATTTATTTGTTCTTTTCTTATGAATATATATGAATCGAGTTTTGATAAAAAGCTTGTATGAAAATTCACTGAAATATAAAATAGTATGTTCAGGAAGTTATTCTCGAACAATGTTCACTTAAAGATTTAATAGCAGGGGAATAAGAAATCATGATCACCGATATTGCTAAATTCTACATTACGTTTCTTATTATGATTTATAAACATAAATAAATGCAGAAACTCATGTCTGGCTCATGTCTCACTTTATTTTGTCGCCATGAAGCTACTGACAAATCACGATTCAAACGATTTAGAATATTTCCATCTTCAGGTGAGAAATCACGAGAAATGAGGAAAATCATAACGTTGATCAAATTTTCGTAGGCGCAGCTGTTACCTTGTAGTTGTGACCAGTAGTTGTGGGAGTTAGTTTGGGTTCGTTTGATGGTTGCTATCTATTCGGCTAAAAAAGAGCCAATCTCAACTTCGACTTCGCCTCGGGCCGCGGACTTCACACTCGTGAACATTCTGTCTCACTCGTATCAAAATATACTATGTCGACACTGCTGCTACGTTCACCTCGTGCCGGAAAGTGTCTTTTCGTTGACTTGTAAACGAAAAACGCACAGTTCGGCCACTCGCTGAACGTAACATCACTGTCAAAATAGTATATTTCGATACGAGTGGGACGGAATGTTCACGAGTGTGAAGTTCACCGTTCGTGTCAATCACACGAGCTGAAAATCCCGTCTAACATGTGTCGAACAATATTTTTCATCACACTGTGCGAAAAAGTAACTTTATCACGCTTCGCGTGCCTAAAACGTCCCTTTTCCACACATTGTGATGAAAAATATCGTTCAATACTCATGGGAAAAGTGTTTTTTGGCTCGTGGGAGGTTTATAGCACGAGCCGAAGGCGACGAAAAAACACTTGCACTCCGCGTGCGCAAAACCCCACTTCCCACATATTGTGATGAAAAATAGGGTTCGATACTCGCGGAAAAAGTGTTTTTAGGCTCGTGGGAAGTTTATAGCACGAGCCGAAGGCGAGTGATATAATCCGCAATCGTATCGAAATATACTATTTCCGCACTCATATCGAAATATACTATTTTGACAATGTTGTTACGTTCAACGAGTGGCCGAACTGTGTCTTTTTCGTTTACAAATAAACAAAAAGGCTTTTCGTTTACGAGTAAACGAAAAGGCACTTTTCGGCACGAGGTGAACGTAGTAACAGTGCTAAAATAGTATATTTCGATACAAGTGAGACAGAATTTTCACGAGTGTGAAGTTGGCGGCCCGAGGCGAAGCCGAGGGCTGCCAATCACATGAGCTGAAAATTCCTGTCTCACATGTGTCGAACAATAGTTTTTGACAGTGATGTTACGTTCAGCGAGTGGCGAACTGTGCCTTTTTTCGTTTACTAGTAAACGAAAAGACTTTTCGTTTACGAGTAAACGAAAAGGCACTTTTCGACACGAGGTGAACGTAGCAGCAGTGTCAAAATAGTATATTTCGATATGAGTAAGACGGAAGTTTCACGAGTGTGAAGTTGGTGGCTCGAGGCGAAGCCCAGATTTTAGATTATAATATCTACGGTAACCGAAAAATAGCGTTGGGTAATAGACTTTGAATGTATTGGTCGGGAAAGTTCTTTAATTTAAATTGACATCACCAAAAACGTTATCAATTTCTCCAATATCCCTTGATGTTCCGGTTAATCTATTAACATGCAGATGAAAATCATCTAAATATAAATGATCTGTTCTTCTGTATGAGTTCGTAACTTATTGACGTTTTGAAACATTCCCTCCTATGGGAATCCTGCCCCCTCTGCATCCAAAGAAAAAAACTTACCCATACAACTTGAAAGTGTTCAGGAAAGCTCTGGCGTAAGACTCTTCCGTTATTTGAACCCTACTAATAAATTGCAATATAACTAGAATAAAACTCGAAGAATCAGTTGTCATACCTCAATCAACGTTTTCCAGTTTAGAAACCAACCGTAAGTATTAAAAGATCTAAACTGACTCAAATAAACTCCCGCTGACAATCGTATAGGTTATAAATGTCATTTCGGAGCAAAGAGCTCCGAAAAAGCACTCCCAGCTATTAACATCCATACAAGTAATTGAAATAGCAAATAAAACAGAGGAATGATTTTATGATTAAAAATCATCCAAGCTTATACATAAGGTTATCAAAGTATCAACTTATTTTATACAAAAATCATAACACTAAGTCACAGATGAATTCTTTTAACGTTCTATAAACTGAGCCCCAATTCTGTGAAAAGTTTCTTTTCATCACGCTGTGACGAAAAGTGAACTTTTCGGCACGCTCCGCGTGCTTAAAAGTCCAATTTCCGCCATATTGTAATGAAAAATATTGTTCGTAACTCGTGAAAAAATGTTTTTTAGCTGGTGGGATTATATCACTTGCCTTCGCGGCTCGTGATATAAACTTCCCACTCGCCAAAAAACACTTTTTTGCACTCGTTACGAAATATACTATTTCGGGGAAAAATAATTCCAGGGAATTTCCATTATGAAATAACAATAATTCGGTACGTAAAGTGTCAAGAAAAATTAAGGCATTGAGTTGGTATTTCATTTAGAGATGCGAATGCGTCACATGACCCGTCATAATGGTAATACACTAATCTATTTAATTGTTATGCGTTATTTTGGTATTTCCGAACTTATTTAATGGCGCGAAGGTACGAATGAAGTTACTACACATCTTATTTTTTGTTTTCACTCCTGCCGAGTTTATCTGAATGAGTACACCTTGAGCGCACAGAACATAGGCAAAAGACCTGAAATAATCTCTGATTTTCTTATGTTTTCCTAGTGATTATAACGAGTTGTATGACCCTAGATGTCTGGGAGTAGGGCTGCGCACGAGACGAGACAAGACGAGGTTTCGAAGAGTATCGTCTTGATTTAGAGAGTCGTCTCGTCTCGGTCTCATAAGTGTAAAACTAGGGAAATAGGAGAAAAAAATTTCTCTTCATGATTACTTCTCTTTTATTATAATCAACTGTCAATCATGCTTTTTTATTCTCATTAATTGTGGAATATTCACAAACAACGATAATAATATGATAAAACAGTTCTTGGATTTTTTCTCCCCGAAATAATTCCCCGGAGAAAATTCCGCCGGAAACAAATTCTCGGAATTATTTCCTCTTACGAATGTAAAAAACAATTACATAAACACGCATTATCAACGTCAATTTTATTTATTACATCCTTCAATCTTCGAATACACACCAGATGAGAATTCAACTTTTTCAATAGATCAATAATAAATAACTTACGTTACTGCCATAAATTAATTGTCAACATTTTTCAACCAATCCCCCAAATAATTCGAATTAATCTCTTGCCCCAATAATCAATGAATCTTCATTAACAACATTCTCGTCCTACAAAGTCGCAGATTCATAAAAAATATATATTTTAGTGTGAATGTGTATTTGTGTTTTGAAGTAGCAACGACCGGGTTACTCCAAAATGACTATTTCACACGAAATCTAGTATTTGAATAATTCCAACAACAATAAAAAATGCTCAGGGGAAATTGTTTCAACTTGTTAATGTCTGAACAATGTAATATCATGTGTAACTTGGAGGAGTAACGAGAATACTTTCCAACATTAACAATAAAGTAAAAAATTATAATGTTTATTTTTCATTTTTGCAATTCTAATTCCTGGGGAATATTTAGACGAGGGATTTTTTTCCACGGGGAAATTTTTTCGGGGGAATTTTGATGGGGGATTTTTTTCCGGGAAATTTTTTCGGGAGAAAAACCGGTCACCTGATAAAACATCAATGAGGCCAAACGACGAGGTGGTTCACCCGACTTCTTAAAAACATCTCACCAATTTAACTAGGGGAGGGTGGGGCAAAACGGCCCCCCTTCAATTGTCAATAACTTGTGAATGACATTGTGAAAATTCCCAGTTTCAACTTCATTTTGAAGATAATTTTTCATTCTTCAAAACGAGCTCTAACTCATCCCAATCGGATTATTGAATCGGAAAATATTGACGATTGAAGGGGGGCCGTTTTGCCCCATCCTCCCCTAGTTGTTAAAAAGGAGAATTACCAACCAGTTATCGAATTCTAACAATTAGTTGTGGAATCTCAATAATTAATTGATGAATTTCAACAAGTAGTTTTTTTAAATTTAACCATTAATTAACCATTAAGTTGGTTTTTGCAGAATGACATGGATCAATCATCAAGATATAAATAATTGCAGGATTTAGGGGTCAGATAAGTGTGAGGGTCGGATGAGTTTACAGGGTGAAATAAGTTCTATCGGTGAGATGGATTTGGAGAGGTGATGCGTCAGAGAAGTCACATGAGTTTGAAAGGTCAGATGAGGACTCCCATTATCTATCTGACCCTTAACTTACGTGACCTTCACACTTATCTGACCTTCAGGACTCATTTGACCCCAAAAATCTCTAACGAGGAGACTCTCCCCTAAAGTCTCGCTCCAGCGGCAGTCTCGTTTCGGTATCGTCTCGATTATTTTTGGGCGGTATCGTCTCGGAAAATCGAGACTAGTCTCAGTATCGTGTGCAGCCCTATCTGGGAGTGGGGTTTCAGAAATCATTGATTCAATCGAATTAATTAATTCAGTAGTGAAGTGGTAAACGGAGAGAAGTCGACTTATCTCCCAGTTGAGTTTTTGAGAAATATTTCCGAATCTAAGGGAGATAGCGAAATTTTTATAATTATATTGTTTGAAACGCAACTAAAATTCCAGAACATTCTGGTCGACTAGCTCGGCCTAGTTCGAAAATCTCCGGGACCCTTCGGGTCATCAGTCATAAGTGACCGAAACACGCGCGAATCAGTTTAGGCTTAGCCTCTCACCGTATATAAGTCTATCTCGAGCAAATCACCTGTAGACGTCGTATAGTATCAGTACAGTTCCGATCAGTACATCAACTCAGTTCATTTATTCAGTTTTATAAATTCAGTCTAGAGTCAATCAACGCAGTTAAATAATTATCAGTATAAATTCAGTAAATCAATTAACAACTTTTTTGAGACATTCAACCGTGTATAAAGTGTACATATTTTCAGACTTTATAATAAATGGTGACTTTAGAAAACTCAGTATTTTTTCTTTCACGGCTCATCCTACTTTAACTATCCTCTAACACCTCCCACAATCCACCCAATTTACAGATCCTCTCCTCAAACATATATTTTTTGTAGCACTCAATCGGCTCCACAAAAAAGGTTATAACAAAAATGTTGCTATCTCCCTTAGATTTCGAGATATTGACTGAAAACTGGTCAATAGTCAAAATTGACTCATCTCCTTTTACCACTTCGCTACTGAATTGAAGGTCAGTTTTTGTTTAAATTGAGATCCGGTTAACCCGCGGTTAACGTTAATACTCCCCCACTGAGCCTAGCCGATCGGACATCTTAACCCGAAGTTGAGCGAGGGCTAACCGTGGTTAGTCAAACCAAAATCTGACCCTAGAACAAAATTTGATAACTTCCAGATGAATGAAAGCAATCCCAAAAGATCCTCAACGCCATTCCCTGCAGACCCAGAAATGCCTCCAAAGCGTCAAAAAATCGACTCTCCAAATTCTTCAGCCCCCGGCACCTCATACGGTGACTTAGCCTTCGGGACCGAGTGGAAATCCAACCGAATGAAGAAAGAACTCGAATCCCTTCGGCTCAAAATATCTCTGACTGAAGCCGCTGCCATACAGCATCACAAGTTACGCAAGCAAACCGAAGACCTTTTTGTGCGGGAGAAGAATATCCTCGAGATGCAGGTTCAGAGGGATGCAGAGACGATCAAACAACTCGAGAAGGACCTGGGGACAGCAATGAGGAGGGCTCACGAGGCATGCGTGCCTCAATTGTCCGTAGAATCCGAGATGGCCAGACCGAGGGCCACAATCCAACAGCGAATTACAAAATTAGCCACCAAGAACCTCAGGTTGGAAGATGATGCAACCCAGTCGACCTCTCCAAGAGCTTCAGACTTGACGAAGCTTCAAGAGGAGAACAGAGAGGCTTTGGAGAAGCTAGTAGCTGCAGAGAAAAAAATCAGCGAGCTAGAAAAAACCATAGACGAAAACTTGACATCTCAGGCGGAAGTTGAACTTCAAAGTTTGAAACTCCAACAGGCGAAGATTATGATTCACAGATTAAGCTCAACGAACCGTACTTTGTCGGAGAGAGAGAAACTCTCGACAGCACATATCAAAGAGCTCGAGAAAGAAATAGAATCGTCGAAAGATAAGCTCGCGATGCTCTCAGATGTTGTGAAGGAGAAAGTTGTGGCAAATGAGGGTCTTGAGAAGCAGATATCGATTTTGAAGGAGAAATTGAAGAATAGAGAGAGGCTTCAAGCCCAGCTGGCGATTCTGCGTGATAGGTGTGGAGAGTTGTCCTCGAAACTCCTTGAGTGTAAGAAGGAGGAGAATGTGCCAGGGTCGGAAGCTTTGCAGTCTACTCCTCAGCAGGCAGCCTCATCTGTGGCAGCTATGCCCCTACCACTGATCCAACTGCCAAAGTCGCAGGTCGATGCTTGGCAGAAGGGGAGTGACAAGACAGGGGAAGACCTGAGAAGATCGAGAGCGGCCAAAAGGAAATCTGCCGAGATGACGAGACGGAATATCGAGGACTTCGATGATGTGCAGTCGGTTGTCGACGGGAACAGGGGGAGGAATGAGGACAAGGACTCGTCGTGGAACGTTCCAGATGATGAAGAGTCTTTTTCCGACAATCAGTCAGACGAAGACGACTGTGACAGTCTGCCTGACGAGAATGAGGATGGAAATTCTGAGGGCGAGCCGACCTCCATCAAACAACCAGATGAAAATCTGCGTGTTCAGGTGGGACAATATTATTCAGTCATTGTCTCGAGCTCGCAGTTCTTCACCATCAAGTGGCAGTTCGAGTACAAGCACAGGGAAGCCAACAGGTGGGTCTGCAAAAAATGTGACGTAGTGGAAACTTCGAGGAACAAAATTGAGGATCACATTTGGGTAGTCCATTATGACGGCCACTTCACGTGTCCTTTATGCACCTATCGACCGCGACTGCTCCAAAGGAGAGACAGTATTAGGCAACACGTGAAGAAGGCACATCCCGAAAAGTACCGTGCCCGAAAGCGCAAAGTATAATTCACGTCGAGAGAGAAAAAACAGATTTGTAGGAATGAAAAAATTCGTGCCACAAACCTTTGTGTTTATGAATGGGATATAGTCTTGGAAGTTGAAGCAAATTGAACGATTTTTCAGACAAGAAAAAGAATTTCAAGATAACTCGTTCGAGTTTGGTTCCATCGATCGATATTTGATCCTTGTGGTGGCGAATTCGGATTATCATATAAACCGTAAATGAGTTGTTTTGGAAATCATTTTCTCTTGTTTGAAAAATCTTGAAATTGGCTGCAATCTTCTGAGTCTTCACTTCGTCTATGGGTGAAAAGCTTGTGACAAGAATCTGTTCATTCTTAAGTTTGCCTTTTTTATTGAGTGGTCAGACGTAAAACGTCTCATCACTGTAATGAGGGCTTTTAGGGGGAATTGAAACGCTTTACTGGGAATCTTAGCTCCTTAGAGTCTTCTGATGTTTTTTCTCCATAACTTTCATTGCCGAGATAATTTATCAACAAGAATGTTGAATTTTACGTATTGGAATTTGATACTTTAGCAGTGAAGTTCGTGATGAAGCGAATAAGGAGTTCAGGGGAAGTTATCAATTGACTTCTTGACTGAATTGAGGATTTCAATTTATTGTATTCTTCTTCATTCCTAGGGGCGAGCACATTAGACAGATTTAAGATATTGCTCCAACTGTTTACTCGGTAAATGTGGGGACATTAGTAGATTTGGATGATATCGGTCAACATAGATTTTTTCTCTGGTATTGCAATTCAACAGATTCATTATAGTTACATCTAATAGTTTTAATTTAGTTACAGAAATGTTTTGATACGGCTAGTAGAAGAGGTAGATTGGCCAGTTTCGATGAAATCTCATGAGCTTTTTTGAGATTTGTGGGGGTATAATTGAATTTGTTTATTGAGCAATTTGTTTACTAATTGTCAATAGTTTATGTTATTATCTGTAATAGTACAATTCAATTACTCAAATATTCTACTGTAGGAGAAGGAAAGATTGTGATTTATAATTAATTTTTTTGAGCATTCCTTCAACTCATAAATCCCTGATTGAATTTGTTTAAGTTTTCCATTATACAAGAATAAATATATTTGATGAATTTCATTCTTCGTTTTAGTGTTTCTCTCCGTTGTTTATCCGACAGATGAAGGCAATTTTGGCATAGAAAAACAAGGGGTTTTGTAATTTTCTAAAAGTTGACCACCAGATGGACACCCGCGAATACACACAAGGTGGTCAAACTTCGTATTTTTACATTTCAGACCATTCTACATCATTTCCATGCAAACTTTTCTAAGAGGATCTAAAAATAGAACGAATTCGATGCTTCCGTTCAGAAGCAAAAACTACTCAACCGATTTCAATTTTTTTCAAAATATTCGTCTCGATGTCTTTTATTTCAATCAATCAAAATATCCATGCCCGTTTGTACAAATTTCTGAAATATTTCACTTTTTCGGGTTTTCGCTGAAAATCCTTGTTAGCACTCTCACTTTTTAAAAATCAACAGATTACCTTGGAATTTGACATGAAGTGTTTTCTTTGCACCAGAATATTTTGTATTGAAAATGGGCTAAATCGTATGATTAATTTAGGAGATATTCAAGTTTGTATCTAAATCTAATTTCATGAATATCTCAAAACTACTCGACCAACTTTATTTTTTTTTTCAAAATATTTGTCTCGATGCCTTCTATCTTAATCAATTAAAAAGGGTCCTCCTTCGATCACTTCAGAATGGCACGTAGTGTAGTGAAGAAGGAATATGTAGCTGATATGTACTAGAACAGAAAAATAATTCCTTTGCCAAATGACCAATTTTGTAATATCGTTTCTCAGTCACATGATGAAATTTTTCATACCGATGCATAATAGCTCATAGATAATTTAGGCAAGATTCCACCGATTCTAATTACCGGAGGTGTCTGACATCTCTGTACTACAAAAATTACCATCCTATTGAATTCCTTCGAATTTCGGATCCATAAAGAGCTGTACAGTGCCCAACCAACGTCTTGATGCTGGGTAATTATATGAGCGATGAATTAAAAAATGAAAAAATTAGATAGAGCCCTTAAGTATAATCGGGCGAGGAGGGGGATATTCAAAAAATGTAGCCAATTTTACGAAGATGTTTTCACACATTATTAAATCCATCCAGACACCATTTGTAAAATTTGAGAAACCCCAGAAACAGGGCAACACCAAAAATGATTTTTAACGATGCCATGCATCGACCCATGAAAATATGAATGAGTCTCTCTAAAATTGATCATTTCCAAAAATATGGAATTTAACTCAACCAAATAAATAACACGAAAAAAGGACTACTGTAGCTTCAATTATATGTTGATTTCATAATTTTCTGTTGGTTAGAAGTCATTACATTTTCCTTGCATCGAGCGTACTCCACGCTTGGAAACAAAAGGGCCCCGTCCGTAAGGGGTTAAAGTTGCTGCTTATAGGGTAAACAGGTCAATTTCTGGACGGGGGTTAGTTTCTGGACGATTTCAACTTGCATTGAATATTCCACAAATAAAATGGAAATTGTATTAATTCTGTCGTGAATTGGTAAACTAGGATAAGTGCATTTTTTTCGAAAATGCGTTTTTTGGCCAAATCGCTTGCCAACAATGGTCTGCTACTACCCACGAAGGGATTTCGCGAAAAAACAAAAATTGACCCCAGTATGAAGAAAAAGTGAGAAAGATAAGTGCAGTGCATTAACTTGTTGGAAGATATGTTGACTTATCTTCCGAAGTGGAACCGATGGGAAAAGGATAAGTTGACTTATCTTTCTGGTACATTGGTGACCCTCATGTCTGGTTTCCGCACCTAACCCTCGTAACCCTTCCTTTGACCCTTTCACCTAATTCCAGCGAACCTTAATTTTTACTCTCATTCCGGTTTCTTTGTTCAGACCCTTATCGAATTTTTCGATTTTACACCCGAGTGTTTAGATTTATAAAACCCCAGTGTTTGAATTTTAAGGGTCGTCTTTCAAGGGGTCACGTGACCAAATCCATTTTTACTATTTACAGCCAAAACAATTCCTTCATTTTGATAAAACCCAATTTTCGACCTGTAGTCATGACTCCCGTATGTCAGAAATTGGCTTTCATGAAAATCAGGGAATTATGTTGGCTGTAATTAGTAAAGGTGACTTGGGTCACGTGACCCTTGTGAAGACGGCCCTTAAATCTGGTTGAATGATAAATTTCAAACAGTTTCGGTTTTATTGGAAAAAAAAAATTTATAGAAACAATGCAATTTTCTAGTTTTTAAAAATTATGGAATTGAACACAAACAAATATATCGAAACAAAATAGTTAAAAGGCAAGAGTACTGGATATTTAAACGCCGTAAGCCCACCATATTAAAAGGGTGTATGCGGGGCAAAATGGGTATTTCGGGAACTTGTAGGATTGAGTGGGGGTAAAATAGGTATTTCGGAAACTTGTACGATTGAATGGGGGCAAAATGGGTATTTTCTGAACTCATACGAATCATTTGGAAGAAAATGGGTATTTCTTGAATTTGTACGGTCGCATAGAGGGCAAAAATTATATGATAATTATTTTGAATAATTGTGTCAATTTATGAACATGACTGCCTCTCGAGTTATAAAATTATTCTTTTATGAATCACGTGCTCTCAAAACTAAGCTATCCGGCTAGTAGCCATATTCTCCTCAGGGTTGGGCACGTAAAATACGTCAAGTAAAATACCTAGTATTTTACACGTATTATACCATGTATTTTACGTCACTTTTTTTTAGATGTATAAAACGTAAAGTAAAATACGTTTTATACGTCACGTATTATACCATCTATTTGACATCAATTTTTACAATTTTGAGAGTGGAAATAATGGACTTACGTCAAAAGTCTCGAGGCTTACGAGGGCTACAAGGGAAAAATTTAATTTCTTGAGGGTCAATTGTCACGAGAGCCACGTGGGTAAAATTTAATTTCTTGAGGGTCAAACGTCACGAGGCTCATAAGGGCCACAAGGAGAACATTGAATTTCACGAGGGTTCCAAGGGGAAAATTAAATTTCACAAGGGTCAAGGAACATTATATTTCACGAGGAACAAATGTCACGAGGTTTACGAGGGCCACAAGGGAAAAATTGAGTTTCACGCGAATAAAACATCACAAGGCTCGCGAGGGAAACATTCAATTCACGAAGGGCAATTGTCTTGAGGCTCACGAGGCCCACAAGGCGAAAATTGAATTTCATAAGAATCAAACATCACCAGGCTCATGAGGGCCACGAGGGGAAAATTAAATTTCACGAGGGCCAAACATCACGAAGCTCACGAAGCTCACGACTCTCACGAGGGCCACGAGGGGAAAATTAATTTTCACT